TTCTCTATCAATACTGAAGATGATCCTCAGACATATAAAGAGGTCGTGACTTGAAGGGATACCCCACTGTGGAATGAAGCAATAAACAATGAAATAGACTCTATCTTGGGAAACAAAATTTGGGTATCGGCTAATTTGCCTACGGGGTGAAACCTATCGGTTCCAAGTGGATATTCAAAAGGAAGATGCACCCTGATGGTTCAATATCATCCTTTAAGGCTAGATTGGTGGTTAAAGGGTACAAACAAAAAAAGGGAGTCGATCATTTCGACACCTATTCTCTAGTTGCTAGAATTAGTTCTATTCGAACTCTTATAGCAATTTCAGCCATAAAAGGACTGTGTATTAATCAAATGGATGTGAAAACAGCCTTCTTGAATGGCTATTTAAACGAGGAGGTTTATATGGAGCAACATGAAGGGTTTGTAGTACCTGGACAAGAGAATAAAATGTGTCAACTTATTAAATCTCTATACGGGTTAAAACAAGCTCCTAAACAGTGGCACTAAAGATTTGATACGACTATCACATCTTTCATGTTCCGACATAATGGGGTGGACATGTGTATTTACTCAAAATGTACGAGAGGATACACTATGGTAATCTGTCTTTATGTTGATGATATGTTGATCATCAAAATCGATCTAGAAGGTATTCTTGAAACAAAAGAATACTTATCCTCAAACTTTAAGATAAAAGAACTTGGAGAAGTAGATGCCATTTTTGGGATAAAGATAAAAAAGTCAGCATCTCAAATCTCTCTAAGTCAATCCCACTACATAAAGAAGATATTGACCAAGTTTCAACATCTGAATATAAAGGAGTTTAACATTCCGTTTGATTCAAGTGTGAAACTCGATAAAAACAATGGTAGAGCAGTGACTCAACTAGAATATGCTAGTGCAATAAGATGCATGATGTATGCAATGCATTGTACTAGATCGGACATTGCTTTTGCTGTGAGTAAACTGAGTCTATATACTAGCAATTCGGGTCCAAATCACTAGAAAGCAATTAGCAGAGTACTGGGCTACTTGAAAAGAACCAAGGATCTAGAGTTGACATATTCTACACATCCAGGAATCTTGGAGGGATATTCCGATGCCAGTTGGATAGATCACTCAAATGATTGTTAATTCACAAGTGGGTGGATTTATACTCTTGCCGGAGGGGCGATTTTTTGCGCGAGCAAGAAAAAAACATGTATCGCCCATTCGACTAGGGAAGCCGAATTCATTGCCCTAGCGGCGGTGGGCAAATATGCCAAATGGATTAGAGATTACCATGTTTAAAGGGTAACAACAAGTTACTTAACTGAGATAAGGTACTATCAATTGATAGATCCATGTAAGGTAAAAGATAGTATGGCGTTGTCGAGAATAAGGATGAGTCAATATCTTAACAAAGTACGGAGGCATCTTAACAATAAAGATGTTATAGAACTTTGCCTATATGACTTAGAGGTGGTGGTGCCACCTCAAACGAAGAGTAGTGGTTCATCTTCTAGTAAGTCATGAAACAGGGTTTAGTGCATAGCCATATTCGCGCTTAGTGAGAAAGCAAAGATGATAGATGATGTATGTAAGTAAGCCGTGACAAGATTCAAGGTTTAAATCCTAAGGATATCATTGAATTGATCCCTTCTTGCATACTTATATCAAACAAGGTTTAATCTCAGTGACACCACTGTAACATTATCTACTATGAATGTCAGAAAAACTTTCCAACCTGGTGGGGGATTGTTGGAAATGTTAGTGAGGTTGGAAATTTATCCTCCATCCCACATTGGTAGATAGAAAAACATTAGAGCGCCTTATAAGGCTTTCCTCTCTTTTGGGCCTTGAACTTGTTGATGGACTCATGGTGGGGGTCATGAGTGGAAGGCCCAACACACACGCATGCACGTGGTCGTGGCCGAGGGCGCGAGATTCACGAAAGTGGAGCGAGGAGGCGCACTTAACACTTCGCACACCGCATCAGGGCAGAAGGAGCCTCGCCCTGAGCTACCGAGTATCTTTTTGGTACATATTAGAGAGAGATTTAATTACTGGTTATATAATTATCTGTTTGAGGAATTTACAATTTATCTATTTTATAAATCTAAAATCGGTTAAAATCAATTTTTAAAAACGTGTGAAAATCAGTTAGAGACTTGGTCTCTATCTGATCCTGAGTTTAGGGGGATTTAGGAGTGATCATGGGGTGGTTAACCGGTATAAATACTGGGTTAAACCACCTCAAATCACACAGCAGAAATCGTTTTGCTCCCTCTCGAACTTCTGCCAGAATCGTCTACTCTCTCTCTCTCTCTCTCTCTCTCTCTCGTTTCTGCTTCAATCAGTGTGAAACTACCATATATTCTTCATCCACCTTGCCTTTATTTTCATTTCAAAGCTGTTGATAAGGGAAACACGATATTGCATCAAATCATGGGGCTTTACGACTAGTAGACTCATAGCATACAAGAGTGGTCGTATAAAACCTTTAAGGACAGATTTTACTGTGCAGATCCCAATTTAACGTCACTTCAAACAGGATGGTTTTAATTTCCGAGTATCGTATTTATTTTCTGTTCACTAAATGAACGACTTCGCTTCTACTCCCTCCTTTCATTGATTCTATCGCGGAGGATAGATTCAATTTGTGTGGTATTAATCAATTTGAGGTTCTGATTCCAGATATTAAAGTTACTGTCTCTTATAATAAAGTTTTAATTTTCATAGTTTATTTATCTTTTAGATAAAAGAGTTAAGCTTTGTTTATAAAGACTAACAATAATATTTTTTCGACACTTGATCACTCTCTAGCCAACGAGCAAATGCAGTTCCCGATCAAATCAATCGATCACAAAGTGTATACAAAATACAAGTTTAGTATTCCATACATGCTTGGGCATAAACCAAGGATAGATTCTAATCCCAACCATTACATGCTCACCCAAGAGCCCCCTAATTCGTGCTTTAAATGGCAAGAAGGATCAAGAGACTAATGGGAGAGTTTACTACTCAAGGGAGGAGGCCATCTCAAGAAATTGGGAAGGGAACTCAATATTTTCTTCATCAACCTCTCAAGAGGGATGTAGAATCAGTCAAGTGCCACCTAACCTTGCTAACTTCACACAAGTACCAACATGGTTTTTCTATCTCATTTCAGCTTTTTTTTTCAAAAACATTAAGTGGAAACCCAAAAACAGAAGTGATGCCAAACAATTCCTTGAGTGGAATTATAAAGTTAAAACAAAGGAACCCTTTCCATTCGATTGGTTAAGCAACCAGGACTTGCATCCAACGATAGGTGCTCATGGTAGATTAGATCCAAGAGATCTAAGTTGTATGTTTGTTGATAATGACTGAAAACTAGCAGTTGGAAGCTGTTGAAGCCATATTCACCATGAGCCATGCTACCACACGCCTTGGAATAGTGGAACTCCAAAATGCATATGTAGGAGAAGAGATGAATATATATATATATATATATATGTGTGAGAAGAGATGAATAAGAGGTGGTTTTGAAGTCGAAAACATATATATTTTTTTTGTAAATTTGGAACTCATAACAGAACCAAGGAGGATGACTACTTGCAACCCCTACACCACCATGGTTGACACCAAATGGAGGTTAGCTGCAAATGTAGGGCCATCCATTTCCATCCTGACTATATATCATCAGCTTGCGGGTGCACTTGACATTTATTCTGCTCGACATTTCCTATGTGGTCCAACAATCTTTCCTCTTTATGCATGAACCAAGGCAACCACATTATCAAGAGTGTATCATCTCAAATATTAGAGGTACGTTGGATCTCGACATCATGATCTCCCCTTCTACTACAACTAGCCTTATATGCTATAGTAATCCGATTGGGACAGATGCACGAGACACGTCGTTCCACTTGCGGTTACTGTGTGTTTTGAGGTCACAATCTCATCTCTTGGTACTCAAAACACCACCATACCATCTCACAATCCAGCGTTGAAGCCAAATCCAATCTCTTTTAACTTTTTGGTAACAACAAAAGAAAAAAAAACCCCTACGTCTTGTAAAAACAACTTGTATATTATTTTTATTAAAACGTACATTTCATAATTAAATTTTGTTTTGTTTTATATTATATTATATTACTTATTTTGTGTCCCAATTAGGGATCATGCAAATAAAAGAACTGTTTAGCTGTCACTTCATCGAATGGCTATTGTTCATGTATCCTTTATACGATGCACAACAGCATAAATCTTGGTTCAATATCGCAACTTCAAAAATATGGAGGCTTTAATAAGAAGTTTACTTTTTATATGTTTAGATAATCATTAGATGTACGTGTCAACTTGAACTTGCATACAACTTGACTGAACACACGAGAAGTCCACAGAACTTGTAGTGGCCGTAAGGTGACACAAATTGTTGAGTACTAGGAACAAACCAAGGTCTTGTTGAGCTACCCAAATATTTTTTGTAATTTGATAACAAAGTTGGATGTTTGATGGCGTATTAAATTCGAATTCTCTTTTCAAATGGTGTCATGCCTGCTACACCAAGAGCTTCTCCAACCCTCCGTCAAAATCTCATTTTTGCCGTTTTCTTCACTCCAGCTGCACGGCAAAGAGATATTTTTTATGCCGCAGTAGGTAAACACACCGCAAATATGCGGTGTGAAAGGTAAACAACTGCAAATCACAGGTCCGCCATTTTTTGAGTATGGTTGGAATTGAGATTTTGTTTAGTGTTTGAGGGTGCACCATTTTTGGTGTTTTACTGGTGTCGTGGTTGGAGATGTTGTGATGAGAGAAAGGCAGTATTTGCCCTTAATTTAGAGTAAAAAGGCCAAACCCTGACAAAAAGGAAGACAACCAAATACAAAGAGAATGAAGAGCTGGGACTGGGAAATGTATACAGTTTGTACAATGGTTAGACAATGGTAAGTTTCCATCAAGAAGTATACATTTATACCCCCAAATATATATGTATACATACATATATATATATATATATACATACAAGTCTTAATGCCTGCATTCAACTGGAGTGACGTGATCAGCTACCAAAGTAGTCGATTTGGACGAATGATTTCTATGTACACATACATCTTCCTGTAATAACAAAAGGTAACGGGTCAGTTCATCATCCATCCGGTTTCTAAAATCAGTATACAAATGTATCAACCACATTTCCCGGTGGAGTATCGAACAAGCCTTCCTCCTAAACTTACAACATATAACCATGTTATGTTTCCAGAGTTTAGTCGTCTTAACAGGTTTTGGCACTTAACATTTCAATTTTATACAATGTGAGAAGAAGGAAGATGTGATTGTGGATCCCATTTAATTAGGTGAGGAGAAATAGTGGGAATACGTAGAACCCTGTTGGATTACTCTCCAAAAGAGCCTTTGTAGAGAGAAGAGGTTCCAAACATATATTTAAGTAGATCAAGTCTAGGCGATGTAAGGCTCCAACACGCCCCCTCCAACGGAGGCTAAACAGGCACAAATTGTCCCAAAGTGTTGAGAAGGGGGCTAGATGAGTACAGATGGCCCCAGAGGATCAAGTCTGTAGAGTAGTAGATACAATGTGAGAGTATGTGGAATCCGTTTGATTATTCTCCAAAAGAACCCTAGTGGAGATACTGGAGAGAAGAGATGTTCCAACATATACTGAAGTAGAAAGGTCCAAGTCTAGCCGATGTGAGACTCCAACATGGACGAAGAACTTGACAAGTCAAAAACACTCTTTTATCACTGCGATTATTTTCCTTAAGAAGGGTTCAGTCTGTGACATACTTGAAGCTTTTTTTATTTCTATCTTTTGTTATGAAATATGTATGAAGGAACATAAATTAATGTAGTGCAAGGCAATAAGGTGGTACCGAGGAGGAACATCGTCCACTTCCACAATTTCCCTTCATGGTTGACTCCTTCCTTGAGATGCAACTGTTTGCTTTGCCACTTCCAAAAGCAGAGCATGTCAACATCAGCGGTTGGAAAGGTATGACTTTTTGATTAGATCCTGATTTAAATTGTAACAGTTATGACAGAAGTACTTTTTATTGAATTTTCGTTCTGTGTCGGTCTTCTTATGTGTGTACTACAAAGTTCACTGATGAATCATAATAAGAATCCTAAAAATGATCTTGTGGATGTAGGCAAATTTTGGAACTACATTAAACACCATGTCTCAGGTTCTTGGTTTCCTGCCATTATGATTTTGTGTAGGATTGATTATTGATCTTAAGTTTTAATGTAATCGACCCTGCATGGCAATTCCTTGGAGGTCATGGGTTCGAAACCCCTTCCCCTTTGTTGATTAAAAGGAAAGCTGCTAACATGTAAAGTAAGTCTTTCTTATTTACTTTACCTTCGTAATATGAAGGTCTTTCCATGGTCCTTTATCAGACCGCAGGCAACCTCCTTTTTCTGCACAATTGCAACTGCCGCCTAGAAATTCTGGCAATTCACTGATACATAACAAAGAAATGTGTCAAGATCAAGTTTACTGAAGAACTCTATGGCTACCGAGCAGAATCAACTTCGAAAGGTTTACCTTGCATCAATGACCTCAAGCAATGTGCTTTTAAATTTGGTGCCTAGGACCTGAGGATGTTGGTTCACCAAAATATCAATTCAAAAACTATGGTGACAGCAGCTGAATATTTGACACAAAATCATATCATCAACCTACATGAATCTTTGATTTTGCTTTGGGTTCAAGAAAAGATTGAACCATATTCCAGAGCATCTTAAACCCAGAACCAGCATTTACGATGAACATCTGGCAAAGTGTCTGCAAAATTCAAGTCCCAAATACTCTGTTCAAAGAAGATACATTTCGACTTTTTATGTCAAATCTATATATCAAGTTGTTTAGAATGAGATACAGTTTAAGTATATTTTACAAAAAGTTTAAGGATTATATCAAACTTGAAGTTGAAATATGTCATTTGATCTTTGAAATCACAATATATCTCTTTTTTTCTTGTAAGGAAATGAGACACCAAATGGTAGCAAAAACACACATCGGGGTAGTTGCTGTTAATCTGTTGCAGCCTCCTAATGAGTTCAATCACGGGTTTTGTTAGGTTCCTTAAACCCTGATGAAAAAAACAAACCACAGAGTTATAACCAAATAGCTTCAGCTCCAAAGATCAAGCCTATATCACTTTAATTTATCATACCACGCCTTGAACATCTATAATTGTTGTACTAGAAGCAACACGTCTGCCTGCAGCAATTGAGCAGGCTGGGAGCCTAATGGCCAAAGTCCTCTCATACTCCTGCACATAGTATTTCACATACCGTTCGATAGTTGTCACTCTCATAAGCTTCTTTGGATCAGCTTGTCCTAATATTTCTATGTAAACAGGCCTTCCATCCTTATCAATACCATGATAACCCTGGAGAAAGTACTGCAAAACTTCGTCCAATTCACTGAACTTATAATCCTGCCAAGGACAAGTTTTTTAGAAGATTTAGATATGAGGCATTTGCAATTTGGCAAAATTTACGAGTACAAAATTTTTGAGATGCAGAGGGGTTTTATAATAGATGTCAACAACCAAGCACAATACACTATTATCTCCAAGAGTGTTGGAAAGAACTATGTATTTTTTTAACACCAAGACAAACATATTTCATGCAGAGTCCTATACACCCTCAAAAGTGAAGAAATTGGCTTCAGAGTGAACATTTATCATCACAAAAGGCCGACAGGGAGACTGGAAAACAATAGAACCCTAAATATCTGATTTACCTCCAAAATGTTGTTGGCTCCGAAGTCTTTCCTCCACTGAAGCATGTCGATCCACATGTTCTTAGCGCTTTCAATATTGAAGTTCCTGGCTTTCAAGTATCTGCAAGAATCAATTTACCAAGCTATGACGAACAATGTTCCTATGCCACAATTTGATCAAGATCATAATTATTGCCATGCACCTTTTTTTATGATATGGATACGTTAGGTGCAGAGCAATCAAGACAAGGCGAACTTACTATATTGCAGTAGACATTAGAAAGCAGTATAGTGACAAGACTCATGCAGCAGAGCTTCAGTGAGGTACTGTGACACCCCATCTCCAGCACATGATCTTAATTGAGTCAAGGTTGAACATGCACCAGAGGCGGAGTGCGTCATATGGATAAATAACAACTTCTAAATAATTAAACCTGATAAATATCTACCAAAATCGTTGTAGGGAGAAGGAAGTACAACAAACTTAATGATTCCTTTTACCTTCCATGAATGTCACATAATGTTTCTCATTAAATTTTGAAGGTTTGAATAACTATCAGGGAGACTCCTTAAGTCCTAAGCTCCATGCATTAATTACCATGAAGATCTTTTCTTGATATATCTTCTAGCCTAAGTCAATGATTTCTGGATATTCAACATATTAATGCTCAGAACAAATAGACATGTTTTGCACCATCATGAACAAAAAACCTACAAAATCACATGCGATGCAACAATAAACCGTTACCTCAACATCATATGATAATCATCAAGTATTTCAGGTAGCAAGTTGCCTGCAATCAGTGCTTGACGAAGAGCATCAACTGCCCCCACCTCCTGAGGATCTTGAGGCTGCCCTGTTGTAAAAGAATCTGGATAAACGGTTTTCTTTCTGCTTTTCTTTTCTCGAGAATGGCTGGTTTTGGTAGAAGCATTGTCTACATTCTTCTTCCATGTTCCGCTTGTGCCTTCTTCATCTAAGACTTCAAGATCTGTATACCATGTGTTTCTCTCATCACAACCAGGGAACCCTTTGCGAAATATAGAGTGAAAAGACTTGAGGTTTCTGACTAAAGACAATGGATGCTATTACATTCCATCATTGCTTTCATAGATAGAAAGCCAGGAGCTTGACCTACACCTAAGATTTATACATCCACAAGAATTTTCTTCCCAAATATAATTGTTGCAGAACACCACAAAGAAAAGATTGTATGCTCTCAAATGCAAAGCACACACACACACACACACATATATATATATATATATATATATGCAAAATTCAAGTGTAGATTTGTAAATACATACAGTACAGTTATTTGGAAGTAAGAGATAGACTGCTGAATTGAAAATTTTATGTTCGTCCATCCTCCCGTTTCTATTTTGTGGGTCCATCTCCATTTCCCTACGCAACAATTCAAGTGACGGGGGACCTATAATGACATCTCTATTCCTTCCACACAATTTAAATGCGACCATAAAATCAAAAGGTTTGAGTTTGACAGGTAAAATGAACAGGATAAGGTGTTTGGCAACAGAAACCGGGGAGGGGTTACGAATACAAACTTGTGAGGCTATAATATCACATAAGATATACGTCCATCGTGACACTACTGCACCTATTTTGCATTCCAATTGTCAAAGGATTTGCCACTTAAACGTACTTGCATCATAGAAGCAAGAATAAGCAACTTTGGAATAATACAATGATTTATTCTCGAAAAAATCTGAATAGTATGCCATTAAAATATAGGTTTGGAATTGAAATCAGAGTGATAGTTTACCAACATAAAAAACATTTTATTGCTAAAATTAAAAATAACTTTGGCAAAAGTTATGATATTGAAATATGATTCTGGCAAAAGCTAGAAACTCCAGGTTCTCCAAAATGCAGAATTTCTGTGTTTTCAAGACACAAAGTCCTATTTCTTACCAAACTTGTTTTTTCAAAACAATACAAGATGCAAATTGGAGACATAATTTTACCCCAAAAAGTTATGATAGACCTGCAAGTAGGTGTGACGATTGGGTCGAGTCGATTGAATTCCAACAGCCAATTTTGTTAACATAAGAATAACAGCGACACAATTGTTGGTACTAAACCAGATTATGTGTATTATTCACCATGACAAGAAATCGATTCAATAGATACTAGTAATGAAATTGTGTACACATGAACTTACGAGACAACAAATTGCATTCCATCGCTCCAGAGATGACGAAGTTTGCTCTGTTGAAATCCAATCCTAATTAGAAATTAATGGAAATTTAGGAATTTGAACAAAAGAGTAGTATAAGAATGAAGGCTTACAAACACCAATTGATTGTTGAGGTTATGAAGGTTAAGACGGCACGGTTGGACGAGTTTCCGTGTTGGTGTTATGCAGCTTTCAAGTGTTTCGTTTGGCAACGTCATTATTAGAGCGGGAGAATATGCCATGTATAGGGATCACATATTCATAAAGCCTGAATTACAAAATTACCCTTTTAACTCTGTCCACTATTTTGTTTTTGTCGACAAATTTATCATGAACAACACGCTGTCTCTCTAATCAAGAAGAAGAAATAGTGGCGGATCCAGGAAATTAATAGGGGTGAGGGCACGTTGGATGAGATTTGGGGGAGGCAAACATATGGCCATACGGGACTGGAGGAAACCATGTAAGACAAAAGTAAAAATAGAAAATTTATGCTAGTCAACAAACGTTTTTTGTCTTTGACTCCCCGGTCCTTAAGGGCTAGATCCACCCTTGGGTGGAAGGAAAATGGCTACAACGATTGAGTGATGCAAGGAGATGGAGAAAGCGAAGAGACGATGATCGGTGGTGGTTGCGGAAGGAGGAGGATGGATGGATGGACGGACGGACATTACGGGATGGGTATGTTACATGGATAACTAAAGAGTAGGGGTAGGGGCCTCTTGTTTGGCGGTTTTCGGTATTTTTAAAAACACAACTCAATTTCGATGGTTTGGAAAAATCTCAATTCAACTCAATCTATACTATATTATATAAAGAATTTGACAAAAACTCTTAAAAACCATTTTTTATACATATTACTTAAAATTCAGGATTACAAGTAGATTGTGCATAAGTACAACTTATTAAACCTTTATTTTTGAATTTGTGTAACTAAATGCAGATAAATATAATCATATACATGATAAACATCACATTTTAAATATAAAAAGTCTAAAATATAATTAGAATAATCGTTGAATTCTAATAGAATACTTAATTATTATCTTTATAAAATATTATATTATTAAACCAAAAATAAATTGATTCGTTATTAAACTAATAGAATACTTAATTATTATCTTTATAAAAAAATATATTATTAAATCAAAAATAAATTGATTCATTATTAAAACTAAATTAAATTATAATAAAAAAATTGAATAAAAAAAATTACATAAAAAACGAGAACTTTTAAATAATTAATTTGATACTAATATCGATATTTATTTTTTCAAAATTTTAATTACAATATCTTCAAATTTATATTTATTCAAAAATATAAACATTATGACTTTCTCAAAACCATATAAAATTGTATTATATCAATAGACAAAAAATAAAAAGAAACAATAAAATCAAGATGTATCTCGCTGCATTATACGATTACCCTTCTAGTTAAATCAAAAGTATAACTCAACCCTTGCAGGTTGAGATGGGTTGAATTGGGTTGACGGGTTACTAGTTACATAACTTTGACGAATGAAATATTTTATAAGACTTAAATTACAGTACTAAACTATAAAACATATTATCTAAAAAAGTTACAATAAGTTTATAAGAAACTTTTAGCATTTCAACAAGTTTTTATAGAAAGTTTTTTAAATAAAGTATTATATTAGTTATTTTATAGAACAATTAGTTATGGTGCGTAGTGACATAACAGTCTGGTCCACGTGCTAGGGATTTTAATTATTTATTTGAGTTGTTTGACTCAAACATGACTTATAAAAGAGGCCACATGTAAGAAACACATAACATACATCATTTTATTATGTATATTAATATTAGCTAGTATATATATGCTCACGTGGTGCTCGAACCAGCTAGCAAACATTTCTTCCCGAATTCTATCAAGTCCAACATCATCAATATTCGGTTCTCTTTGTCGAATATTTTTATCAAAGGTCCACCAAAAATGTTGAACTTCTATACTATTGAACAAGACATATATGTGGATCATGGCCATTCAAGTTTACCTGTTTACGATCTTCAGATATCGTAGACAAGATGGAAGCTTGAATATGCGTAGTCGATTGTCGGTCACTGAATAACTAGGAATATCTGGGGTAAAGTTCCTTGACTCACGATTATGTTTTATTTCTATCGTTGGATCAAAATAGAGGAAGCAATAGGTAGACAAACCATTTAGCACAATGCACTTAACCATATATTGTATTTTCAATGAACTTATTAGCTGGAATTTGCTCAATACCAATACAATGTCATTGGAACAGTATCAATAATATCTTTATATACCTAAAAGGAACTATTAACATGGGCTTCTTCTTTTCCTGCAAAGAAAAAATGGATTTGGTAATGGAATTTCAATACCTATAAATGATGTAACAGACAAAGTATAATCCCTTGTGATGTAACAGACAAAGTATAATCCCTTGTACAAACACTTTTGCTGACATTTGGTATCTCTATGACTCGTACAAATGTCGTTTCTAAACTAGATAAGGATTTTCCCTACTGAACACGACAATTGTTTTGAATTCAAAAATAAACCCTTGTAGCTAACTCATCGAACCATTTTGAGATTTATGGCTCTACATGAGACAGTTTGAGATCACATATGGTTAAGAACTATCATTATCCAGCTTGATATCGTCAAGAATTCCTGACTATTGCAACCTGTTAGAGGAGTAAGTGGTTTGAGTTCAACCACTGACAATCTCATTGAATATATGGAAATAATGCACCTTGCATCAAAGGAATAAAAGTAGGATACATCATGGGTGATAATACAAAACATATTTCGCCAAAGTTTTTATACAATAAACAATAACAGTCTCTTCTTGAGATTTAAATGAATCAAGTAACGTTTGAGGAGAATGTGGCAAATATATTACCGAATCACTACCCAAAGTTATATTAGAGAAAAATGTAGAAAGTATAGAATGGAGATACTTTCCAAACTCCCTTGACTAATGTACAAATCAGGGGGAGTAGTGGACAAAAGGATGAGTCTACTATATATGTAATATTTGTATGTTTTGTTCTTTCCTTCATTTAAGGTTTTATTTTTTTCCATTGAGTTTTGTTCTATGGAGTAAGATTTTAGTGAGACAACAGTTTATACATCATACTGTTTTCTAAACCTCTTGATTAATGTATGAATCAAGAAGGATAGTAAACTAAAGAAATTGTTTACTGGTGCTTTGTACTCTTTCCTTTGTCTAAAGTTTTTATATTTTCTACTGGGTTTTGTTTCTTTAACATAGGTTTTAATGGGGCAAGAATTATCCACCATCATTCCTTTGACTTGGCACAAAGGGAGTGTTGAAAGATTGTGTCATCATCAAAGAGAAGTGATTAGAAGAATACTTTCCATGTATTAGAATCTACCCTGATGAATGTTTCTTTTTTATTGTAAATTCATGCCTATTTAAAAGGACTTATAATTAATGAGAATTACATATTCATTCCCTTTATTTGTTATTGTTCTATTATGTTTTTCGTATAAAAAAACATGGGTTTTTTCATAACTTTTTCCTTTCCTATTCTATCTCTAATTATGAGATAAAGAAATTTTATCTCGCTATTATCTGGTGTAAAAGTGTCATTTAGTTTTTCTAAGAAGTGTAATTACTACACTTTCTTAAAACTGTGTGTCGTTTTTAACACCGGACCTTTTGGAAATAAACTGTTTAACGATCAACTAGAAAGGTCTCCTTGGACTTGTTTTCTGACTTATTTCACCCGCATTACTGATTTTATTTTGAGACAAAAAGAATAACATTGTAAGTTTTACTCATAAGCAATTTATAAGACACATTCTTTTCTTACCTTTTAAGGAAAGTGTAATTAGATGTCTTACAAAATTGGTTAATCTAAATTATATTTTATATTTTTAATGGGAATAAAATTTTATATTGCATACGAATATAAATAATATTTCAACAAAATTATATAATTATTAAAATAATAATCATAAAGGGTAGAGTAAATTATGGATTTGTTCCCTCAGATTTCTAAAATATATCGGATCTAGTCCCCATAATTTGTTTATTACAAGATAGACCACCCTAGAGTTCATATTTTCGTAACACATCGGTCCTTGCCATTAATGAGAGTTAATTCTCATCTGCTAACTTAGGGGCATTTTTGTCTTGTTAATCTCTTTTAGTTTTTTTTTTCTCTTTTGTTTTATTAATTTTTTTCTTTTCCTTTTTATTAATATTACCTACCACACAGTTTTTCCGATGAACCCCCTCTCTCCCCTTTTTCAATGAACCCCTCCCTCTCCCTCTTCCTTTCTCGTTGAACCACCAAACTCACTTCTTCCCTCTTACCCTTCACCCACCAACTCTGTTCGCATCTCAACCAAAAACCTATCACCACCACCTTAATATACCCCCAAACCCAACACCACCTCTTCTGAACCATCGCCCTCCCTACCCTTGACCTAATCATCGACCCTTTTTCCCTCTATGAGCTACCCCTGGTTTCGAAGATAATGTTTGACGAACAAAGTCAAAATCTAGAAACCTAAATGTAGACACAGGTAAAGCCAAAATTTGAACATAAAAACCCAAATTTTTGTCTCTACTTCTGACGTGGTTGAAACCAATTGAGAACAAAAAACAAAAATCATCTCGATTTGGTGATGTTTTGTCCTTGATTCATCTCAATTTTGGTACGTGTTTCAACTTGATTTGGTCTCTGTTTCATCGCAATTTGGTCCTTGTTTCATCTTTATTAGGCGATGTTTGTTTAACATAATTTGGTCGTTAGGTCTAAAATGTTGTATACAAGTCTAGTGCTTTATTGTGTTTTACTTTGCTATAAATAGTGGTCCTTGGTGGTTTTGTTTGTAGCAACAACCAGTAGAGCACTTCCTTTTGTAACTTTTCATTTTGAAGCATTGTAATATTTGAAGAGCAATACAAAAACCTTTGAAGAACTTTCTCTCTCTACTTTACTAATCTGTCATTGTTGATCTTGCTTGAGTTCTTGATTGTTGTATTGGATTGATTAGTTTTTGGAACATCAATTGGTATCAAAACGGAAAATAGCAACCAGAAATCAAATTGATTGAATAAATTGTACAAATTGGATTGAATCTGTTCTTGAAACTTTCCATTTTTGTCGAATCACCATTCTTACTGTTTTTGAATCTGGATTCTATAATCTGTGTGCTTTGTGATTAGATATTGATTGTATTGTGT